AGGGGGTTTCATTTGAAAAAATGAACTTTTGACTACTTTTATGCACAATGGAAATAATAGTAATTTTAGCACGCCCTGTATGATATGGAGTCGATTTCTTGGTGTTATTTGAATATTTCGAGTTTGTCCAAACTATCATTAAAATATCAACTTTTCATGAATTGAGAGTACTGATGTACTTGATTTCAATTAAGGCTAAGTTTTGAACCATATTTAGCACAATTTATTTTTTATCTCGAAAACAGATAGAGATAGGTATAGAACAGTATCAACAAAAAAGTATTGAAATACCAGAGCAATTCCAAAAATGCATTAATATACGGTGTGTTCCGTTTAAAAAAATATAATCGCTTGGACTTTTTGATAGAAATGGCAACGTCGCAATGCTGAAAATATTTTAGATCGATAGAACAGGTAAGGAAATATGAGAGGTGAAATTTCCAGAAAAATCATGTTTTGCGTTTTCCAGAAACGTCTAACCTACCATCGACCGTGAGTCACGCTGTTTATTGTGGGAATCTCTGAATACGTTTATCATGAATTTCCATCAAGCATCGGCCAATTCCAGCATATGAATCCTTCCCAATTCTATAATCCCTTCAGTTTCATTAATTTGTTAAATGAGATTTTTGCATGAATACATAGAAAAACAATTTTGAGTATTATACCATCCCTAAAAATCTATCTGTATGTATACAAGTTTATCCAATCTGAATCAATAGAAGAATATTTCACATGGATAAATAAACTCATAATCGAGTTTTCCACTTGTTCATATTTCCATTTGTTCTGTTGAATTTGTTTTGAATTTGTTATCTGCTGTCCGCGGATTTGGACAACTCTTGTTTTTCTAACTCATGCAGCTTTAAATAAAGTGACGCATGAACCGACGTCAGTAACATAAAATTAGATTTTGTCTTGATTATTTTCATAACTGCTTCGATTCAGTCACATTCCATGTCACGTGATCAAACCTGCCGTGGGTCAGCGTTCTGTATTGAAATTTTAATTCAGTGAAAATATGCCTCTCTGAGCAAATTATTCTCTCAACTACTGTAATTATTTCTACAAAAACTACTAGATTTTTCAAGCTTATGTCTTAGCGAAACATGTTGTGATATATTTTTCAAATAAAGTTTGTGGATATCAAA